TATTGGCCAAATGTAACTATGTTAAGTTATATGGACACCCAATCATTCTTTTGCTCTGGCATATTATACATGGGCTTTTTGCGACTTTGTCTTACTAAAAAGTTGGTAAGGAAATATGCGTAAATAGTTTTAAGTGTCCAGGCTTTCATTGGCCTTCATTGTTTATTGTATTTTAAAAACAAGGAGGCAAGCAAAAAACCCAAATGCTATTGCAATTTTGTACAATGAAAGAGCCACGTCAAAAGGCAAGAACATTCTCAAAAATTGCCAAGCTGTAATAGATACATCTATACGTAATGTAATTTGTATATATTTAAATAACGTAATAACCATATAAAAAATATATATATAACAATATCTATATAATGTACTAACCTTCCTCGGCAGATTGTAGCCATTCAGCGAATTTGCGCATTTGTTCAAGGAAATGCATCTTGCCTTTGTTGGAGTGTCCGTCCTTGTACCACCGCAAGATTATTTCCTCGGACAATACTTCGGTCTTGTAGAACAATAAAATGATCTTTTGGAACGCTTTCATGAAATTCATGTTTTCGTAACAGAATTCTTGCACTTTCAATATCAATGCCAATTCTGAACGATCCGTTGAGGCGAACGCCTGCAACAGGGTGCAATATGTTTTAAGATGACGCACTGCTTGATCTGTGACGAGCTCCTCCTTTTTATTCCATTCTCCCAGCGACATTATTGTGGACCAAATCTAACAATTCGAATGAAATCGGAATATACAATAATAATTTATACTTATCAATTTCGGGTTTCATCATTTAGCTTACAATAACAATTATCTCATGATCAGGAATGTTGGTACGTAGTGCAAACTCTTTGATGTCTGCAGTTATCTCATTGTGTGCCTTTTCGTCGTTAATATCGTCAATGAGGGTCTGCTGCAGTTCACGTTTGGCCTCTTGGCTAGCCTGCGCCTTATGCAATTTAATGATCTCATTGAGTTCTTTGTCAAGAAAAACTTGTTTAAAATATTCCTCAGTACGTTTGTTTGGTGGGAAAAAGTCCATAAGTCTGCAATAGTTATAATTTAATTAGCTCTATATGCATATATCATTTTTTTTTTTCTGATGTGCGAAATAAAATGGGCACCCAAATAAATTAAATAGGTTTATTTGCGAAATGCATTAAATTCCATGATTTAATCTAGGAATGTTAATTAAAGATTAACAATATATACATGTAGATCTTCCTGAAAACATTCCAAAGTATATTCAAATAGAACTTATATACTTACTTGCTTTCCAGTCCACCCTTTTTAAGCGCCTGAATAAGATATGCAATGCCCTTCTCTTGCTTGAACGTCAAAAACAGCTCCAATAAAAATTCGAGTGCAATGCCATCTTTAATCAGATGCTCATTGTTTAGTACCAGCAATACATTAGGCGGTACAGAGCCATTAACTGTAAATCATGCGAATATAGAAAAT